TAAGATTTCATCTATTCCAGGGCAAGTCTTTCAACAACAATTTCAATTATTTCAGTTATTAGGGTGCTAAGGTTGACGAAAGCCCTGCTCAAATCACAGAAGATCTCAACAGGGCACTCGCCTGCATCAACCATAAGTCAGGTTTTCATAAATGGAGTGGACAACACTGCTTGTAGATTTGTTTTCTTGGTTGACGATTATTAAATGATTTAGCTTCAAGTGAGAATTTAGCCTTTCTTAATAGACATATTCAATATGGAGGAAATAGTTATGGGACGATATTTACTATTCTGGTTCAGAATTGGAACGACCCTGCCAGTATTTGGGCAATCGGGAAAATTACTATTTGAAAATGAGACGTCGACAAGATAGGTCAAAGGAGAAATTATAAAAGAGAAAATTTTTATCATACCCTCATCACCGAAATGCATAAAAGTTACTTCCACTGTTTTACCTGTCAAACCCTTTTATTAGATGAACCATATCATAGGGTTTGCTATTGAAAAATTAACATTCGTTAAGTTTTCGAAAATAATTTACATTTCTTATTTTTTCAACCCTTTGAAGAATCTGAAGTGAGTATTTCCAATTCAATCGTTCAATTTCATAATTCATCTTGTGTGTATAAAACTATCATCTGACAGGAAAAAATTGTTGGAGGAAAACGTCAAATTATTATAGGGGGTAGTCTTGACTGACTAATTAAGGAGAAATATGGATGCAGTCATATTACTTGGGTGTTGTTTGCTTAAAGAATACTCTTTGTCATATGGTCGAGCTTTCGAGAATGTTTATTCCCTTTATCAAGACGTCTACAAAAAAAATCAAACATTGCAACAAAATTGAAAGACAGGTAGGTAAAAGAATGTACTTACTAACTTGAGGTTATAGTAAAAAGTCAGAAGTGGTAATGACAAAAACAAAGTTAATACTTTTCATCATGTAGAAAAGTGTCACACATTCAATGTAACATTACAGAGAAAAAGTACAAAAACCTATTTTATTTAAACATTTCAGAAATTATTTCATTGGCTCATGTTTGGCACTTACTCGGTGGCGTGGTAGCAACCAAAGAGAGAGAGAGAAGAGAAAATATTTGAATTTTGATAATTGACAATGTGAAAAGATATTTGAAGTTTAATAATTTGACAGAGAAACGACAGGATTACCAAAAGGCACACCAAACCCATGGCTGACCCAATCAAAATATAAAGTATCTGTTCGACTCTGGATACAGTGCTGCCAATCACTCCCAACTGACGTAAATTTGCCCAACGCATCGTTATCACTACTGATAGTCTATTTCCCAAAATTAAAACTCCTTTGAAATCTTTGAAAAATTCGAATGTAGTATATGAAATTCCTTGTCATACATGTGACAAGATATATATTGGACAAACATCTAGAATTTTATCTGGACGCTTAACGTCACACAGAAGTGATTATAACACAAATAAAGCCACCTGTGCACTCGCAGAACCTGTTGTCATCACTAAACACACAATGATCTTTACCGAAGTTAAAGTTTTGTGTACTGGAAGCAACTTACAAAAACGGTTGTTTAAAGAAATATTTTTCATCAAAAGGAATACCAACAACATGAACTAAAAGACTGATCTCAACAACCTCAGCAATATTCTCAATTACATTTCGAAATTGGAGCTAATTCCTCCAGTTTCCTTAAGCAACAGGTAGTTTTGGGTTTGGGCGCAGTGCTCTGGCTGTCAGAAACCATTTACGTCAGTTGGGAGTGATTAGCAGCACTACACCCAGAGTCAAACAGATTTTTATGGAATTAATTTACAAGAATATTATTTGTATGTAGAGTTTACAACCAATACATGTTCGATGAAAATCAGGCTGCAAGAGATTTCTATGCCGGGGGTTATCTATTGCAAACTCACTATTACTCTTATCGATATAAGTGCAAGCTTCCAGTATATAGCTGTAAACTGTTGATACACCGATAATTATAAAGTATTGACGACAACTGGTTGCTCTTTCTTCAAGATTTCTCGAAATTATTATGCTCACGTATATTTTCATCATCTGCTCAGTTGCTGTATTCCTAGATATAATTCAAAGTACTAATTGTTCATCTAATTACAATTTCTATTCGATTTGCACTGCTTTTCCATTCGAAAAAGAGAACAAGAATCAATGAAGTTGTGAAAGTCAAGTAAGCAAGCGACATGACCCACTTAAAATTCATCAGTACCATGGAGGTAATCGTAATGTCATTATATGAATTACTATGGAAACTAAGAATGTTACCTAGTGATTTTCGCTCAAAAATACAAAAAAAAAGATATTTTTTCACATATTTCAAAATTACCTATGACGGAATGTTTTGAATTCAATAAACTCATATGACTACGACAAAAAAATTCCATAACATTAATCTTCAGAAGATTTACTGGTTTTTATCGATTATGATTCAATATTATGGAAACGAGTGAAGTTGGGGGGGATCCTAAGCTTACTTCAATATATTTCTGAAACCTATTTGAAGTTTCCTCGAATTCTTATCACCCGGTATAAATTAAAATCAGGAATGCAGAAAATGAGCTATGAGGTATAATAGCGTTCCTGTGTTGATGGATGACTCATTCTAAATTTCAAAGACAAAATAAGCGAAAGTATTTCATAATCCTGCTAACAAAAAATATAACAAAGGGGGGAATTTCACAATTCGAACACCATAAGTATTCAGATTACGAGGCTCAGCTAGTCACTCTGAGTTACAAAAAATATCTGGCCTAGAAGTGCAATAGGTTGATGCCCCATTGTTTGAACTGATAACATCAGGGTATGATTTCACTTCAGTCCTTTTTGAAAGGATCTACAAAGATTTTTCCTGAATTAACGTTTCCTTATCAATTCCATCCAGCATATTTGAAGGATACATTTTCAGCATTTTAATTGATATCTTGAGAAGAACGTGACAAGCTTATGAACAAAAAAGTATAGTCCTGTCATATTATTTGATATGTACAATGGTGTGAACTATCAGGTATGTATCTAAAAATCAGGTTTTCAGAGTTTGGCAGAGCCGTACTCTTACCATCTGACCTGAAAGACCACTCACTATACAAACTTATCGGCTTCGTTAAGAAGCTGGGTTTATTTTGTCGAGTGTCAATGGGTGTGAACCACAATAAACCCTTGTGGATTGCGGTGGAGGGTCGAATAGACCCTTACTTAACCTAACCTAACCTAGCCCATTGACTAGTCACTTGGAAACAACGGGAATACATTGATAGAGTTTCAAACTATTTGGTTAGCCATTTGGAAATTCATGCAAAAATGTGCTGCGCATCAACAAAATAACCGATTTCTGGTTTTGAATTCATCAACAGCGATATAGTACTCGTATTTTATTAGTTCAAATCACCTAGAATACTTTTTCGAAATTCTTCATCACATGTTGAGAGAAGTTGGCAAGAAACATACGCATGAAAAATCGAACAAATAATTCAAGATGAAATTGATGCCAATTATTTGTATGTATGAAGGTGGAAAAGAAATGAATATAGAGTTTTCAAGCTCTCAGTTACAGATTCCGTAAAAGATCCATTCATCTGATGATATAAGTTTTTATTTCAGGCATGCCCATCTTTAGATCTCATCAGACCTTGGTTATATGTTTTTCATACCTTCATATATTGGCCTGCTGGATTCCAATTGAAAAGTCGAAGAAAAGAGTACAATGTTTTGAGGTGACAGCACGTTTTTTTGTTGAAGCAAAATTTTTCAGTCTATTTTCATCAATTTCAGTCGAGTTGATTTTCGCTCATTGTCCGATTGATAGTCATTGGAGCCAAAAGACACATCTCTTCAAAAATAACTGAAGCTAATTCAATTTAACGGAATTTGAATGACAAACATTGACTGAATTTAAACATTACTTGGCTGGTAACGTTGAAACAATGATGAATACTAGCGTGTGATTTGAGCTTCCCACAAGTTCCTGCGTTTCTATTCAGTGGAGGTCAGGATAGTTTACGAACCTATTCAAATCTAGGGTATTAGTAAATACTAGCGACTCGACCTGGCTCCGCACGGGTGCAATGTTGATACCAAATATACTACAGAATTTCTTAAAATACGTTCACAGCTATTTTGTCAGTAGACAATACGATCATGTTTTCTTTAGAGGTTACTCTTGAAAGAGCGACATATAATTGGTCTAGTACCGTCGCAACCGCTATGTCCCTGCATTTGAACCTGCAATATCTTCAAGAATATTTATTTAAATTTCATGCTGTCGGAGGTCATATTGATCACATTATGAACAGATAAGGTGAAGTATATATTGGAGATAATTTTATAAACGCACCTTTTTCCCTGCGGGTGACGTCTTACTCGGAATACTTGAAAATCTTTTTTTATTGCACATCTGCAACATAAAACTAACCTACATACAAAATTTAAGCCACCAAAAATATGCCGGTATGGAGAAACAATGATCAAAAAATAATTTTGTTTTATTGACGCGCCTTTTCCCCCGCGGCTCGCGCTCCAGTTGGAATATTAAAAAATCCTTCCTTATTGCACATTCACAACATAAAACGAACCTATATACAAAATTTCAGCCTCTGAAAATATAGCGGCACGGAGAAACAGTGATGAAAAGGTAATTTTCACAGTTTTGTTTTGAGGATAATTTTGAAGTTTCGAGAAACTTATTCCAGTTTCACCAACACATTTACAACACACATTCATAACATTTTTCCCATACTATTCGTGAATGCATATTGTTATTTCAGGAATGGAACGACATGAATTTGAGGTGGAATTCCTCTGAATTTGGTGGAGTGAAAGATCTCCGAATTCCACCCCATCGAGGGGGTGTGATTTGGTTTGCTCCGATCAAATATCTCGTATATCAAGTTCTGTTGCTTTGATCTGATATCAAAACAATTTTTCATCATATCATAGTTGAATTTATCACCTTTGGATAGTAACTTCACATTAGTAAATCGACATTTCTCTTTCAGGACGAGAAAAATCAGCTACTCATCACTAACATTTGGTTAAAACTGGTAAGTGAATTAGTTCAAACATTGTTTTTTTTCCGACAATGAACGGAATAACCAACGTATATAGTGTGTGTTTTCTGCACCCATCTCCATCGGGGCCAATTCACATAGACCCTACATCAGGCGGAAACGAGGCGCAGGCGAGACATATATATGGCGGATGCGCGACAGGAAATTCTTAAAGTAATGAAAATGATAAAGATATATTGGTGGTGATGACATGGATATGGTATGAGAGACTCAGAAGAAACGTGGCTGAGGCTGGAAGACGGCCGTCCGCGCCACGTTACCTCTATGTGCATTGGACTCAGAAGAGAGGCAAAAGAGACGAAATTCTGCGCCTCATCTCCGCCCAATGTCCTTTTTATGTGAATTGGCGCTAAAAAACAGATAAGCTTCCAAATGCCATTTTTCGAAGTTTATTCCTTTTTATGTTCATTATTAATATTATCAATATAAGTATTAAGTACACAAATTTATTTATAATCACAAACAATGTATGAGTTAATCGTATAACAAGAAAAACATTGTTTTAATATGGTTCATAATATTTCTTGGTGCATGTTAGAGCTTCGGGCACACATTTTCTGAAAAAGTGTCGAAATGAAATGATGAATGAAATAATGAAAAATGCTAGAGCCTGAACACTCGGATGACTTCGTTGAACAAGAAAAAAAGAAAAGAAACGACACGCAAAAAGTAAAGTAAAGAAAATAATAAAATTGATTTCGAATAAAACTACTTCACGACGTTTCGATTGTTGGCATTTAAAATTCTTCTCGCAATTTTCCTATTCTTGTTCTTCTTTTTTTCCTTTTCTATTATAATTTTTTCTCATTTTTCATTATTGATTTCGTTTAGATATTATTGACATTTCATTTGTTGTTCATCTTCCAATTAATTGGTATCATAATATTTTTACAGTCCTTACTCGAAGTTGTTTTCATTAATTTTTTTTATATTATTGTCTTTTAACTTTTTCCAATATTTCGGTCCTACTGTTATTCAATATTTCATTGGTTTACCCTTTTTAGATTTATAATCTGATAAGATTTCGAGTCTCTGACATTCGTCATAAATAGTGTCAAACACCTTCACAAATCAGTGTTCCAGTTACAAGTTTTGTGCTCCAACTGTATTTTTTCTAAACTGTTCACCTAATTATATTAAACTATTTACAATAATCAATCAGTATGATTATTGATTTTGCAAAGAATTGAAATGATGGTAAATTAGATTGCAAAATAAATCGAGACAATTCAATATCGACTTTTATTATTACAATCCTCATTCCGATTCATCGTGTTCTCGAAGTCGTCCAGCCAGGGGCTTCACCAGGTGTTCCTTCCGCTGCTTCCTCGAGTGATGACTCCTCAGGGGTTGTTGGTTCTTTCTCTGTGGAGGAATTAGAATCCGCCGCTACTAGTTAGGGTTTCCTTGTTCTAGCAACGTTATCAGATCCTACAACGACTGCGCCAATTGTTATATTCACTCTTTTGAATATGACTTTTTAAAAACACTCTATTTTCAAATACAGACTTTTACTTGAATAACAATTGAAATACAAATTCTAATTTAATACTGGACAAGTTTTAAATAGAGACTGACAAATTCTAGATAGGTACTGACAAAATCTAAATTAGAACTGACACTGATTTGACCTCGCAGGGTCCATTTATAATGTGTAGACAGCGGTGTCAGCAGGAGACGATGGGAAATAACAAAAGTATCACGTTCTGCTGACTCTGCTGACTCAAAGTCTTGGAAGTCGTTATCTTGGTAATCTGATACCGGTGAGATCGTCTTACTCACGATATAACAACTCCCCTTATCAAAGAAAAGTTGGTGCTTTGCAGCAACTTTTATTAAGAAAAAGTTTTTTCGTTCAAATTCGTGGTTAGCTCGACATCTTCTTCAACGAGGTCTTCTAGACGGACGCTGGGTCTTCTTCTGGGAACGAATCTTGCCAGGGTTCTGGGTACTACTCTTGTTCTTGGTGGTCTCGGTGGGTTGTCATTGCTTGAAGAGGTGATTCCGATTGCAATTGACTTCTGTAAGTGAATTTCTGTAAGTGCCGTCGCAGGCACTTACAGAAAATATACAGAATCACTATTGCGATGATGAGTGCAATTGTAAAATACGTGAACCAAGAAATATGTTTGTTCACGAATGGTTCGTTGATGAGTTTGTCCAATTCATCTGAGTATTGATTCAACTTGTATTCGGCGATATTGAGATCGTCGACATTTATTTTATTTAATTTCAGGGGTTTCAGCTCCGGGAGTTTTGATTTTTCCGGGAGGTGGTCACAGCATCGATATGGTATCTGGACTGCATATTTGTTGTAAGTTACGTTCTGGTATCTTTCAACGAAATATTTGGAATGAACTCTCGTGTTTCCAATGAAGGCGTTGCATTCAGGCTGAAGTTCCAGGAGAGTATTGGATTCGATGATTTTTGTAATTACTTCTCTACCAATACAATTTATGGTGATTGGTGGAGGATCGGATATTGATATCAGCCACAGATTTTGAGAGATCACTTGAACGTTGTAGTCCTTTGCGTAGATCACTGTTGATTTACAATTTTCAGGCAATTGCAGAGTTTGTTTGAGGAGCTGGGCTCCACAAATAGCATTGCTGTCTATCGGGTATGGAAGCACTTCTGCACAAATTTTCAAGTCGGTTTTGATTACTTTGCAATTATCTAAATTTTGAAAAGAAGTGTACAACATTGAATCGTCATCTCGCACAATGAATTTTTGAAATGTTAATAATATATGGTGAAGTCCTGTTCGAGCATCCAAGATTGGTATTGGATATAAATGGAAAAGAGTATACGTTTCAGGCTCTACGAGGGGAATATTTAAAACAAATACTACTTCATTGTCTGTTTGATATGCTTGCAATTCAATAAGGTCTAGGTATTGGGGAATATTTCCAATACTGACGTATAATGGTAAATTATTGTTGTTCAATGTTTGTGATATTTCTTGAAGTGAATAAAGTAAATCTCTCGTAGATCTCATGATTGAACCATGAATTATTTTCAATCGAGCGAAAGTGATTGAATTGATAATACCACCAATAAAAATTCAAGGAATAGGTAGCTTTCTATGAGTGATTCGCATATCTCTAAAGTTTTTATTTGAGCTTCGTAAAATGCCATATCGTCTGATATTTCCATTAGTGATTTTTCGATTTCTTTTATGCTTTGATTGAAAGCCTCTTCATCAACTTGTAGCTTTTGAATTGTTGGATTGAAGTTTTTGATCTAATTTTACACATA